TCAATGTTTTTTTTTTTTGTTTTTTTTTTAAGTGGCACACATGTTATTTCGCTAGTGGTCTTTTCTTTGGTGGTCTGTCCTGAGGTGCCTGGTCTGTGGTTGGATCCTATTATCTTTAACCCCATCTCTTGCTTTAAAGGGTGATCAAACACTGTGTGAAGAATAAATGTGTGTCATTTTTGAGAGAAGTTCTTCTAGTCTTCTGCTTCATGTGATTTCGACTTTCTGAGCCTCATCCCCCTTAGCCTGAGCTCCAAGCCTTTCTGTTCTGTGTTTGATCAACTGGACACTGAACTTAAACTGACTCTGACATCCTGAAGGAGCCGTTGAGTTTTGTCCCTTTACTGTCCATGAGAAATTAGCAAGATGCAAATGAGCCATGAGTGGAAGAAAGCTGCAAGGCAGCCGTAGGCTTCTTACTCTGTCTGGACTGGAGCCTTTTAGTCCAGCTGTGCTTCAGACAGCCTTCATACTGAGACGTAAACATACTGTGGTAACTCAGGATCACAAAGGACCTGAGGTAGAGAAGAACTGTGCTAAATGAGAAGGGAAGTGGTCATATGTAAGTCAGTGCAGCTGTGGAGTATCTGCAAACTTGAATGGCATTTGTAGTCGAAACTATAAAAAACATCCAGAGGCTGTTTATGCCAGACTTCATTTAAAGTTTAAAACTGTTATAATGAAGACTGTTGTTTATTTAAGGAACATTAAATTTGATGAACATGCTGTCGTTGTATTTATATTTGGGATAATATAAGTGCTTTCTATTTTCTTCCAGATTTACATGCACTTTTAGGAAGGTAGAACTAACCTTGTGGCTTCAAATCAGGTCATGTTTTTACTAGAGGTTACAACAGGTGTGCAACCTACAATCAGCTTGCCATGTCTGACTATGATGTATTTGCAGTCTGAAATTTTCTCTGCCTTTCGTGGTTGTGATATGGTTATGATGTCACAGCAGCTCACACGGAGGTCGTTGCTATAGTAAATTAGACATATATCAAGTATAGAGCACTGCATTGATGATGTATTTTTGTAGGCCAGCCCAGAAGTTAGCATCACCATGGTTCCCTTGACAATAACCCAACAGGATTTTTCCACTGGCTTTTGGATTATTACAGAAAATAAGCACTGTGACCAAATAAAGTTTATGATTCTTGGTTCAACATGAGGATTTTGAAGAAAAACAAAATGCACCAAGGTCACATGTCTTCAGCATGAGCATCACTAAGCTTCCGACAACTCTTTTGTGTGGGTGTTTGTTTGTGTGTGTTTTTTTCCCAGAAAGTCTGATTTAGAATAGTTTGCCAGAGCACAATTCTAAACACAATGAGGCTGTAAAAGCAGACTTGTGAAATTAATTTTCCTGTTTATGTGATGTTTATTGTCTCTGACATCCTCTGTAGTCTCATTTAGCCACTTCTTAGGTAATTGTAATTTTCGGAGTTTCAAAGCCTGCAGTCTGTGCATTTGCAAGCCAGTAGTCAGTACAGAGTTGATGCACATTGAGTAAAGTAAATGGTGAAATATGTCAGTAGTGCCTGTGAAAATTATAGCACAAAAGTTGCTGATTCAATTCAACTGAGATTTAGCATCCTGTCATCCTTGTGTACGATATTTAATCTCAGGAGCTACAAATGGACTGTGCCTGTGCATAGTGAACTGTAAAGCGTGTTGGAAAGAAAATGTCTGCTGACAAGTTCAAAGCTAGTAACTTAACCCTGTCATTCAGAAGTCAAATTGTGCATGTGGAAGATACAGTGATGGACTTCTCACACATTTGGATTTCATTAGTCATCCAAAATCCACCTCCTCATCATTATTACATGCACAACAGAACACACCAATGCACACGCATATATCTAAACAACTCGCACATGTACATAACAACCAGGTACACATCCAATCATTGACAGAACACACACAATGAATGGCACACAGCACACATGTGGAAACTCTCTGGGCCAGAGGAGTTCCTGTAAATGCTAAAAAATAGAGGAAAGAGCAGCTGCAGCCAAGAATGATCCAATGCCTAAACAGCCACACTGTGTGTGTACTGTATGTGTGTGTCTGTTTATGTCATGTGTATATATTCTGTATGCTAAAGGATGCAACCTTTTCACATTCTATAATGCCTGGAAAAAGCATGTTCCTATTAATCCTATTTATAGCGTTCTTATTCATCTAAATTACAAATGCTTGGCTGGTGCAGAACCCCCTGGAAGCACACAATTTGTAAATCTACCATCTTTGCTTTATAGTTTAATTTCTTTTCTATCCCACTGTTTAGCATCTGCTAGTGCTGGTACTGTGACATGTCCTATTAAAGTTATTATCAACTTATACCATTGCTGATCTGCCCTCAGGCACTGCATTACGGCACTAATCCCTCTTTAAAAAAAACAAAAAAACAAAAGCAATACACACGTTTGTTTCTGTGAATTGTGGGGACTTTCCATAGACTTCTATTACTTTTATACTGACCAAACAATATTTTCTATCCCCTAACCCTAAACCCACCCCTTACAGAACACCTGTTTGCATTGTTACACTTTCAGATAAACATCATTTACAATTTTTATTTATTTATTTATTTTTTTCGCATGACGGTCCACACAATGGCAAAAATTTCAGGTTTTACTATCCTTGTGGGTCCCCACAATGTAGCATAAACAAGTACACACACACACTTCAAATGTAACATCTTAAAATCAAGCAAATCATTTGTCAATCATGTAATCAAACATGACGCTTTAGCATACATATTTAGCTGCTGAACTTTAAATGGATCTAAATTAATAACTTTTTTTAACAAACATGAAATATTAATACATTTCAGTGAATAATAAATTAAAACTAGACACCTCATCTTATTTTTGGGAGTGGATAAAATAATACAACATTAAACATACAGCAATAAAGGAATGATCAAGGTTGACCTTTTCAGCTTTAAATTTAAGAGGATAACCCAAAATGGGTTCAATAAATAAATAAATAAATAAACTGTCATCATTTATTCACCCTCATGTTATCCCAAACCCTCGAAACACAAATGCAAATCTTTTAATGAAAGTTGAGAGATATCTGTCCCTCCTTTGAAAGTCCATTCAAGCAAAATTTTCAAGCTTCAAAAAGTTCATAAAATATCATAAAATATATGTATGAATCAATATGAATTGAGTGATTTAATCCAGTAAGAAAATAATTACAAAATTTAAATTTTTGTGTGAGCTTTTTAAGCTTTTAATAATAACTGTGGACTAATGTTATGTAAATCATGTCAAACAAGTTTATTTTCATCTAACCAATTTCAAAGTCCATGAGAAATGATACATTCTGAAAAGAGGAAATCCCCCAACTTTTCCATGACATTCTAATTTATTGAGATGCACCTGTAGATTAAAAAAAAAAACAAATTTCAGTAAGCATTAACCCACCCTGAGAAAAGACACCATCAACGAATGTGAAGATAGCATCACTGGCACAGAAACAGTGCTCAATTAATGCTCATGGGTGCTTTTGTTCTGATCTGGCCTCTGTGTCACATAATTCATAATTTTTTTTAAATTCTTATCCTTGTTATTCTACACCAGTTAATTGTTGTAAAGTTAAACCATGTAAAACATAACTGAATGGTTAATGTGAAACAATTGCCCTGCATTAGGGTCACTTTATTTAATTGTATTATCTAGGTGCTTGCGTACACACTTATCCACAAGGGAGTTACTTTGAACAATTACAATAATATCTAACAGCTGGGTTTTGTAGTTGGCCCTATACAAATATACAGTACAGTAAAGTTGGGATTTGGGTGAATTGTGGCAGAAGGCAACAGCTAGCTATGTTGTAAATGTGTGAGAGATTAGGTTCCTTCCTGTTTATTCAGTTTTTTGGAAAGGAAGTGATGTCACACCAGATTGCCTCACGTCCTTCCTTCCAATTGTTTCCCCTTGATCTGAAATTTACTCATGTAATATATTTTGTAGTTTTTGTATTCAGTTCTGATTTGCTATAAAACATCAGATCTGCTTAAATCCAGAAATGCTCAAACTATTTGTAATTTATGCATTGTTTAATTATCTTTAATGGGCAACTGACAGCCTTATTTTTTCTTAATGTTAAACAGTTCTAAACTTGGTTTTCTGACCTGTTCCTGACCTACATACACCAATCCCTGGGTCCCTCAGATCCTGTGACTCACCCTTATTGCAGAGGTTTAATATAAAAGCTTTAACCTTGGGACTGTGACACTGAAGTGGAGCTGTGTCTTCAGCTTCAGTGAGGTCATACTCAGATCACCCAACCAAACAAGTTACACATGCACAAGAAAGAGGGGCTGTCAAAATGGTGACAGAT